AAAAAAAATTGCACGTGAGTTCAAACTGTAAGGGAGCCTCTTTGCTCAATTCTTCAAGCTTTCTGAAGTTCCTCTGAATTCCAAAGTTTCTAAAAGGCTTTCCAGTGTTAAAAGCTAAGATTTATCTACTGTAAAAGTTCTCCCTTACCTTGATTCAGGATTAGTTAAACTGAGATTTTGAACTTCAAGAATTTTGTTTAATATGACATTACTGGATACGTAGTTTACAAGGCAGATAAAGTAGTTCCCACGTGCTTAACACTATTCGGCACACATAAAAGAACTAATTACTATTGCTTATTCCCAGATGCATGAAAAATTAACACAGTTTTACAGGCACATACAAAACTCATTCAAAAAAGAAAACTGTTCACCTCTTCTTTTGCGCCTGTCCCTTTTCATTTTGTATCATTGTCATTTTGTTTTCTCTACCAGTTTACTGGATGAAGTTCAAAGCCTGCAAAATTCAGAGTGGCTAAGTTTTTTATTTCAGTGGTTAAAAAAGTGCTTACTGTTTCAGTGGCACAGCGACCAGGTAATTAAATATTATATGCCAAAATATCTGAAGTATCTCTAAAGGTTCTATTTACTTAAAAGGTTTATTGTAAATTAACCTAAAATGGTTATTTTCAGCTTATTAAAAGGCAGGAATTAAACGAAGTAATTTGAGGCTATTACCACAGCAACCACAACTACTTGTACGACATTATTATTGAATAATTCTAGTTGTAAAAACTCAAGAAGCTATTTGCTTAAATCCAAAGCAACTTTCGTATAAAATGTCATTGCATAAAAATACATTAAAACAACAAAAAAAGAATTTATTTTATACCTGTTTGGGCACTGGAAATGGATTTTTTTTTTTGGTAGTAGGTGACTAGCTCTGGCAATCGATTTGCTAGAATTAAGAAGGAGTATCATTTGGAAGTAAGTATCTAGGTGGATTAGATAAAGAACTATTTTAGCAAAGTGACAGCTTTGACCTTATTGACATTTTAACAGCTTAACTGTGGGACATGAAGGTATGTCCATTTGTACATCTTCGGGGATAAAGGGCCATAGTTTAATCTTCCCCTTACAATTGTCTGCAGACTGCTGAGACAACACACCCAAGAACAAAGCTGCAGAGGTTTATAATAGATCTGAAAATGCTTGAAAGAAGAGGAGAAAAACTATTAAAAGGTGACTAGAAGAATGAAGAGGATCATGGTCTTCACTGACCAACTGCTAGACTTGCACCTCTTGAAGAGCAGTTAGCACACAAGGAACATGGCAGAAATTTTTCCTTATCAAGATGCTCTTGCTCCACAGATCCTCTAAATCTTTTAGCTGTCCAGAATATATGTTTGTCTGCTTGTAGTATTACCATGCACAAGCCTTGGCAATTAAGTCTTGAGCACTCAGTGGTTAATGACTGTTGACAACACTTAACCTCAAGGACAGTAATCATGGTGAATGAGTGAATTCTGAAAACATTGGAGGTGTAACACTTTGAGTACCTCTGGAAGAGGAGTCAAACAAAAAAGATATTAGCCATGCATTTGAGAAGGGTTATATATTCATGGTTTTTATTGTGCTTGCATTACTTTCCATTTCAACATCTGAAAAAGTTTCTAATAACAATTTATTTATTTAATTCCGCTGTTCGCCATGGTCTCTGCCCTGCAGACTCCTTTCCCTTTCACTTCAAACGGAACTCCTTTGTATGTAGCAACACACTGGTCATTGGTATGAAGATCAGGTTGGATTTGCTCCCAAATCTTCTTCTTGGGATTAAGTTCCTTCTCAGGTTCTCCTGTTTCAAAACAAAGAATAACCCAATAGTAAAGAACACAGAAGGCAGAGCAAGAGTTTTATGTATGTAGACATCTGTGAGAGCCCACACAGCAACATTGTACACACTTTTAAGGGAAAATAGCGTTACCTGCAATTCTCAAAATGAAAAATTTAATCGGAATTAGGGATTGTCTAGGAAATGTCTCCAGAGCCTCTCTCAAAATGCTGATCTTTCAGGGGAAAAAAGGTTGTAAGTAACAGACCACAAATACTATGAAAAAGAAAAAATCAAACCATTGCTAGTTGTTGGTTTACAGAATTTACTAGGCACCAAAAGGCTTCCCAAGAATTTAGATGTGGACCACAGAAATACACTACTCACCAAGGCACAGGTTCATCAGCATCTTAAGCTTATAAATTAATAAATTCTTATAAGCAATTAATATTAAGTGAATTTAGCAGGTGCCCTTACAGTTGAGAAATACTGAACTTAGACAAGAATAATCCAAAATTAGGATACTGACATAATTTTAGCCTAAGTTTCAACACGGTTCACTACTTTTGGTATTATTCAATGACACGCTCTGGTGCCTAAAATAACAGAAGCATTAGAGATCAGCTTGTATTTCAGCAATTATGGCCTCAGTCTCTATGAGTCTCAGCTTCCTGTTTCTATGTGTACACCATGATAAGCTACCTACCCCTAGAGATATTGACAGTCTAACTACATTAGAATATCTGACTATTTAAGGAACTCTAATGACAACAAAATGCATGTTTCTTCTACTAATGTTTTGAAATACTGTTAACAAACTACATAGAATAGTGAAGTATTTCAGAGTCATATTTTTCCTATTTTTCAATAGGCATGAAATGAAAAGTATAGGAACAAAACAACTAAGCTAAATAAATTCTCTTGCTGTAAAGATTTATGCTGAATAAACTGCTGCCTGCTGACATAATCTAGATAAAGCAAGAAAACCAATTCACTGTGCAATTATATTCGGTTCAAAGGTCAAGTAAATTTAATCTCTTAATTCTAATACAATGCAGATTCTCTTCAAGAAAAAAAGATATTTAATTTAAAAAGTTTTTAATCATAATGCTGTTGGGTGCTCTTGACCTCTTGTGTTTAACACAGGCAGGACAAAAAAACCCAAACACACAAGACTTGCTTTAAATATAATTCAAGCACAATTAAATGCTGAAAGGGATCCCATGCTATTTATTGTTGATACACTATATGTATTTTTACTTGCTTGCAGTGCCATATGGGCACCATTTGGCCCAAACGATTCAAGTCCTAAGTTCCAGAACAAGCAAGAATCAAAAAAACACACCCTAGTAAACAGATCCTTCCTGAGATCCTCTCACAGAAGCCAGGAGTTCCTAAAGGAAAATGAGGAGCTCTCCACATGAGCAGAATGTCAAGTACTCTCATCTTCCACTACTCAGTATCCCCAAAGGTTCAGGAAGAGAAACTATTAAGGCTACAGGGATTTTAATGTACGTGTTTCTAGTAGCTGATTGATATTCATTACTGCTTGGTGTATTCCTGACTGCGGACCAACAGGTGGTTAAATGAACTACTCTTATTCCAGCCTGCCTGATTGTTTTTCTAATTAAATGTTTTCAGTGGTTCAATCTACCTACATTCTCAATGCTTGCAAAAGTAAGTTACTTCTGCCTGCAGACAGGTCTAGCTTCTGTATCTGTAACTGTGTAAGAGAAGCAGACCAGGCCAGATTTCTCTGTCAAGCAGGCTAGCCTTGCTAGAGCAAGACTCAATAATGCAGTCGAGTTATTTCACAACCACAGTGCACATAACATGTAAAAGAAAAATCAGTAATAGCATTAATAAATTAAACATTTCGAGCTAATTGTGCATTTTCACAAAAATAAAAATCCTGCTCAGTGCTCAAGTTCATGAACAAAGACAGACTTGGATTTAGACCAAAGTGAATGCATACAAACTAATAAAATCATTAAACAGATTGTTAGATGATCCATTGTGCATTTCCTTCCCCCTCCTCAAATATAAAAAGCACGGGAATTTTTTCAGTAAGAAAAAAACCTGACTTTTATTATAAAAAACATGCTTTGGATGCTAATAAGTTTCTTTGGAATCCTCCATCAAGCTCCCTTGGGATCTGTGGTGAGCTCATATTAGATTAGCATAGGCATCAATTTTAAATACTACCAGAGCTTTACGCTGTGCATTTTCTTGTGACTTCTCATTGCATTCCTTCTTCCCAGAAAATATTCTTTAGAAGGGTTGCTATAAATAAAATAAAACTTGTAATGGTTTAATGAACTTACGACTCTTTACATAAAAAGAACCAAAAAAGAGGTTCCAAATTTTGTTAAACATGTCATTCGGTCTAGCAGTTTAAATATTGCAAAAGAAATTCTCATAATAAACAAGAAATTGCTCCACTTCATAACAGGTCAGTAACTACTGAAAGAATATATCTAAGCATAACAAGGGGCAAAAAAATGCGGTGACGTTTAGCACCACTTAGCCCACTGTGGATTACAACTGCGCAACTGAAGGAAAGCATCCATATGCCAAAGCTT